ATTTGCATTTCATTGACTCATAAAGGAACAAAAGTTCATATCCAATGCTTCTGCTGCTATGTAACATCGGACAATCCAATGTTGCGTTGCACTGCGATGATGTCTGAATTGCTAACCAAACGCAATAGAAAATGATTGTGATGATCATCCAAGAATGACACGGTCCAGCCGGACTCGCCTTGTGTATTCCATCCTCCTCTTACACCGTTATATACTGTACTCATGATCCCGTGAAAGGTATCCAAAAATCACGTCCCCTAGAGACTCGCTTTACCCTGATTCTGGACTGTTGCCGATTGAAATTTTGATCCATTCTTTCACGTAGCTGAGCCCCTCTCAGTCTCTGGCATGACGGTTCCCTCCTCCAGAGCCAACTGCAGTCCCATGGCTTTGTGCAGCTGCAATGCTAGAAGGACAAAGCTCAGGGGGATGAGTAGTGTAGTACCTCCGCCTTATTTACGTTTAATGGTGGGCCTTTTCCTTTGGCAGGCGTTCTATCCGTAGACACCGGAAACATTTCTAAGACCTATCATGTACCTGCGGTAAAGGCTGCTTCACATTCTCCAAGACACATTTTTTCAGTCATCTTTCAACCACCAGAGGGGCGAATTTTTGTGTATAAAGGCTCTCCATTGCGATCATATATGCGTGAAGGGCGGTTCTGGGCTTTGTTCCAGGTTACTCCCTCCATTTGCGCTGCAATGGTGATTGAAGGTAGGTAGAGTTGCCATAGAGTTGCACTTTGCTTTGGAGTGGAAAAGGTACATATCTTTGCAAGGTGACTGGTGCTGGCTTGAAGCGACAACATGCCGAGCAGCATTAATGTTATGGGCCGATAGGTCTAAGTAATAGCGTTGATAGGTCTAAGAAATGTTTCCGGCAAAGGTTGTGAGGGCACGCACAATCAAGCTGCATCAGTCCAATTGAAATGGTTGTGGCTGTTGCACATATTTTGAAGGGAATTCGCCTTAAAGCTATCATCATAAGTACATGCATGTACATTTTTTGGCACTTCTGAGTAGTATACATCGTACAAGAAACGTTGCTTTGCGGCCTGTCTCACAGCAGGTAAATTCAAGACTTTTCGTTATCGACTTCCATAGCCCCGTCCTCATTTTCTTCATCACTGTCGTCAAATTCAACGCCGACTTCACCAGTGATGTCCCAACGATCGCCCTTTGCGGAGCGACTGACATACTTGACAAACTTGAGAGTACCCTGGTCGCGAAGGACTATGCTCATGCGATTCCAGCTGGCAGGCATGCTGAAAAGAATGCCATCATCTTCGTCGGAAGTAGCACGATAGACCGCGGGGTCGAGCTTAGGCTTGGACTTGGACTTTTCATCATTGGCATTCGAGGGAGCATCGTCATCGCCGGCCATATAGATCTCGTAGCCGCCAAGAGACAATTCCTCCTCTTGTGGCTTCTCTGCAACATCGCTGCTTTCGTTGGCCTCAAGCTTCTTGGAAGTGCCCTCGTTGCCATCATCATTCTCTTCTTCGTCGTCCTCTTCATCATCTTTGTCCCAACCGGGAGAGGGAGTCAAGTTGAGCGTAAATTCTAGTTGCGGCTGTTCACCATCAAATCCATTGGCCAGCGTATAGTCACTACCACGTCTGAATCGACGGGCCAAGAAGTTGTGGGTAGTGATCGTGTCGATACCAGTAGCAACTGACAACCACTTCTTGAATGCTTGCGAAGGAAGAAGATCCTCAAGCAATTCTTGCAATGGAGTTTTCTCTTTCTCGGCCGGCCAGTTCTGCTGGGTCTGCTGGTATAGGTAGCGGTGCTTGTGAGGTGGCCGGCTGACCTTCCAGTCAGTGCTGGTTTCGATTTCGGCAGCCGAGGCAGGAAGTGCGTTGTCTGCTTTTTCCTGCTCCTCGATGTGACTCCGAAGTCTGGCTGAAAGTTTGTCGTGAAGGAAGCGATCGATACTGATTGATGACTCGTCGCCGAAGCTTTCTGCCAGATCCTCAAGTGTATCGGGCGTGAGGTAATGGGGATTGAGGTACTTGATCAAGAAGTCCAGATCCTTTTCAGTAAAGGGGGCGTCGTCGCTCTCAACGTCGTCCTTGCTCTCGCCGTTGGTCCAGGGAATGGCCCGTGGCTGGGGAAGATCGAATTTATCAAGCCGACCCTCTAATTGTGAAAGACTGCTCCTCTGAGCGAGCTTCTCTTCCATTTCTGGATCAAAGCCATCCTCGCCTTCTTGTGGGATGTGAAACCAGCCACTAATGGCCATGCGAACCCGCTGTTTCTTCTCGTCTTGCAGATCATCCTCCTGGTAGTAGACCTCCTCAACGTCGTGGAAGCTGAATCCTGGCTGAACGACAAAGAAGCTCAACTGGTTGAATGCGGGTGGAATTGACAGACAAGTATCAGGATACGGGACGTGAACAATGCTACCGTCATCATCTTTCTTTGCGGAAGTGGGAAACATGCGCAATGCTCCACCCCACTCGGGCTTCCATGGGATATCCGGATGCGTAAGATATAGGATGTAGCTGATTCTTCTGGTGCCGATCACGTCGTCATGGCAGAGAAGATGACAGCCTCCGGTGTAGACGTTGATTGCCATGTCCGTTTTCTTCCCACTCAAGGGGCCAGAGCCTGTGACCTCTGAGAGATAGGCGCGGAACTGCTTCGAGTAGAGGGCATCTCGTAGCTTCAACAAGGAAGGCAGCTTGGCCAGCGAGGAGTCGTCCAGTCCGTCCAAGTTGGCGAGGTCTCCAGATTGAAAGATCCTGTAGATATCAGTCTCCTTCTCGGTGAAGGAGACCTGTTCCTGGATCTCACTCCGGACACCACGAAGAAGTGTATCGTCGACTAGATTATTGATGACTGCATGCTTGTACGGTTGGACTCAGCATAGTACTTCTTGTACTTCTCCAGCTTGTCCTGTTCGAGCAAGCCCGGGTGGAAGCGAGCTGTCACAGTCGCATCGTCGAGGGGTTGAGATATCTTATTTGTGTGAAATGTCTTCCTTGGATCTGCGAGGATGGCTGTGACGGAAGTAAAACAAGACAAGCACATGACGGCTGTGAATGATCTTTGTCTTGTTTCTTCTGATACTCGCGTTGAAGCACGACCCTGATAGTCGAGTGGTATTGTGAGAAAAAAGGAGAATATGACTACGCTGTTGGCATATGCTGCGGAGTCGCATAATGAAACCGATGAAGACATTTGGCGCAATGCGTTCGGGGTCGAGTCTGAGGTGAGTTCCCAATTTCAGTGTTCAATGTGTTCGACAGAAGATCAAGATGTTGACCCCGTTCAATGCAGTCACCGACCCTGGACATCGCGCAAGGAATATACCGCGACTATCGCAGTGCATGCAGTGGTGTACACGATGAAATTATAGAAAACATCGAAAGGCAGTTCTTCGAAGCCTGTGGCAATGGATCAAATGGATCGAAATACACCTTGCCCAGCGATGATGTGCGAGAAATTGTGTCGGACCCTATGGGTATATTCCCAGGCCCACCTGTAGAAGAGCCAAAGGGCATTTCTATTGATGGTTTCTTTGGCTCCTTTCTCGGGTTCAGGCTTAAGAACTTCGCGAAGCGATTCTCGATGGAGAGGTTCCGCGCGACGTTCCACTCCGTGCGTGCATCGACGAGGTTGATCAGATCGCGGGAACCGGCTGTCGAGGGCAGCGCTCCTGTGCACATTGAAGAGTTGAATGCGGACCATGCCCTTCGACCTGAGATGCTCGCTGGCTTGACTTATTCGCCGAGCATCTATTCTCGACCAGCAATGAACACTCCAATATCCACCACGTCGAGCTTGAGCATCAATGTCCAGGGTGGATGGGACAATTCATCGGCATTGTCTGCACCTCCTACAGAAAATGATGTCGTCACAGAAGAGGATGATGAAGATGATGCCTCTATCATCAGCATTTTGGACGCATACACCATTCCATCGGAGCATGATCCGTATGCTAGTCCCCGTACAATGGGTTTCGGTGACAATTCGGACGTGTATAGCAGCACCAGTCATTTCGACGGCACCTTCGCCGAACACCTCGACCGCGCATTGCAAACACAGATTCAATACGGCATCAACTCCTCCATCTGCGATGTCTGTCGCAAAGTGAGCGATCTGCGCTATATGCCAGCCCGCTTCTCCTTCCTCAACTCGCGCGGATTGCAGGACTATATCGAGGACTCAGATTCGTCCGTGGAAGACGTGGATTCGTTCTATCCCGGTGAGGGAGGGCCGATCTACATGCATAACCCGCAGAGGCAACTCTCCCCTGTTCTCGAGGCGTCGGAGTCGGAAGAGTGCTTTGATATGCAGGAGAGGTATCAGGAGAAGAGGGATGTTTATCATCGGCTTGCGTCGGAGTGTATGCGGAAGCATGGGCATTATTATTTACATGCTCGGCTTCAGTGTTCTTCTTGTACTCCTTCTCCCGCTTCAACGCCAACTCCATGTCCGACGCCACGGGTCAGGAAGTACCCTGAACTTAGGAGGGGATGTCTTGGTATGGACATTGACGAAGACCTGATTGTCGATGAGTTTCATGGTCTATATGAGGATCGTGAGGGCGTTTCTGGCTATGAAGACGTTGACGATGGCCTTTCGGACGTGGGTTCGTATAGCTGGCTTCCACGACGCCGGAACGACTTGTCAGAGGAAGGGGATGTGTCTAGTGGTGTAGAAATTGGCTCTGCTTCTGTCTACTCTGGAACTAGAGATGCCCCTGAAGATGCACCGCCACAGTTTGAGAAGAAGAAGCCACAACAGCAGCAGCAGAGAGGACCCCGATTGAAGAGCTGGGTGGACAAAGTCCGTAAGGATCCACGATACATCTGGCTCGGGGGGTTGATTGCCATGTTTGAGATGCTCTTCTTGGAGTCAGGGTCTATCTAGACAGGGGAGCACCCATAGCTCAATGAATTGGAATGTTCCCAAGCCCCTTCTCAACCCCTCTCCGAGCGTAGAAGCGTCTAAAACAAACAAAAAAAAAAGAAATGGAGGAAGTTTGTACTCTAGACCAAGTGGGATTCGAACCCACGACCCCCGCATAGCTGGATTCACATGAATGTCACTGCCATAAGGCAATGAAAGTCATATAAGAGCGGAACGCTAACCACTGCGTCACTGGTCCTCCTTGCAACTCAATTCAGTGGCTTGTTGGTATACATACGGCCGTACGACATGCCAATTGGTGAAGCAGCGAGCAGCCAACAGAACAGATGAAGAGATGCAAAGTGAGACAGAAGGATGGATGATGTGAATGCAATCCTTGCTTGCCGTTCGCGGTCAAACTCGAAATTCTGATTGTTTGCTGTTAGGATCTTCGTTCCAAGGCTGATAATGCCGAAGACGTTCATGATTTATGAGGAATGCAGGTTTGCCTGCCGGGTGCAGCCCAGCTGTCAATATTGCACCACCATTATGACTCCGTCTTCTTCTTGCGAGCGTGTAAGCAGCAGCCGTCCGCGCGCGTATAGAGCATGTGAGCTTGTACAGAGTATATACCGTAGGTAGAGTTTGAAACCAGGCCGCTCGGCGGGAAGTATCCGTATAGCTTAATGGTCCAGGAACAGGCACGATCGAGCGCCAATGTTCAAGTCCAACTCAGCAGGGATGGCGATGTAGAATCCATCCACGACAGTCCCAATTGTTCGAGACAATTATGGTCTCAGGACCCAAGGCTGAGCCACACAAAAGCAAGGCGAACAATCGCGTTGAACTGTCAGAAATGGTCAGGTCGGGCCTCCATCTTCCTCACCGCAGGGCAGCGTAGAGCAGTAACAAAGTGTTTCCTGCAGGTCAGGCCTGGAGTCACTCAGCCACGTCGATTGCATGTGTAGCCCGTATCCGTACATTCGGCGGCCGTAACTTGAGTTGATCGAAACCGGGAAGATGATGACTGCCCCATCTCTCCCATTTGCCATCTCGATCACAAGCCTGTATCCGTCTTATCTGTACATTTCCCATCAGTCATGCCAGTGGGGCCCCGGGGAAAACAAGCGAAGAGTTCGAACAGAGAGCCAGAGACAAGAAGACCCTGAAACTAGCCGTTGAACCAGACGATCCAGAGACGGGACAAACGTCATTATCATCATCACAATCCCTTTGTCGTGCGGCTTGTCCTGACTGTTCGAGCAAACCGATTGCATCTGTTCAATTCAATTGTCGAATCCGTATGTAGCTGTGCTGCTGTGCTGTGCCAATCCGAGAGAGTAACAGACAAGAAGAGGAAGAGAAGAAGATCTCATCATGCTCAACAAGATCTTCCACAAGCTGGCTGATGGCAATCCTCCTCCACCTCTCCCCTCATCCTCCTCGCCATCACCAGACCCGCCATGCTCTCTTTCTGCGGGAATCATACAAGCAACAGCCACTGCCGCAGCGCCGGTATATAGGGAGCAGCACGCGGATGACCCAGATATCCACCGGTCAATATCCAAAAGATCGACCTCCTCAGCGAGCCACAGCCACCATCATCATCACCCTCACCAGCACCAGCACTCCAGCTCTACCGCTACAGACGAGGCTTCCCGCCATCAGCGGCAAATTGAGAGGGCCCGCAAGGAGCAGTGGAGTGGCATCACAGGGCTGACCGAGAAGGAGACGCAGCGGAAAAGAGACAGAGACCGCGAGCAAGACAAAGAGAGCAAAAGGACTGGCAGTCTTCGTAGGCGTCCCCATCCTCGCAGCTCGTCTTGCCATCGCCGTCTCTCTGGCCATTCTCTTGCCGGTCGTATCACCCCTACAGGCGCCGCTGCTGGCCCTGACAACCACCTCGACGGGCCTGACGCACGTGCCACTACCAGCACCGCAGCAAACACCGCTGAACAGGACAGGGACCGGGAAGCGAATCCTGCTGGCCACAAACAAAAGGAGCAAGCTGGCGACAGAGGCAATTCTTCTTATGAAAGCGAGGGCAATCATCTTGAAAAGACCCGGACTCAAGAGACTGCTGTGCTCGACGACAGCACCAGTGACACCCAAAACCACAACAACAGCGGTAGCAACAGGAATTCCACCGCTACTCGATTCTTCTCTCGATTGACCAGTACCAGGAGAGGAAGTTTGAGGAGCTCGAGTCGAGGCCGCAAAAGGAGAATCTCAATCGGTACTTCTTACTCTCGACCGTCGACATCCTCGTCGTCTGAGTCTGCTGCTGTGTCTGAAGCCACTCAGCCATCTGTGCATTCTTCAGACTTCGAAGCAGAGGAGCTAGGGCTTGCACGGTCATACTCTGACCCAGTTGACTCGGAGGGACAATCTCAGCTTGAGGGACAGGAAGGACAAGAACCTGAAGAAAAGGGAGAAGCAGAGACAACAACCATGCCGGTCGAAGCAGACGACCCTACAATCCTCGCCTCCCTCAACGGCACAAAACCAAACATCCCATACCCTACCTTCTCCAAAACACACAGCAAGGAGGTCGTCAGGCCTGCCTCTGGCATCCTCACCCCGGACTCCACCGCCGACCACAGAGACATTCGAGAAAACAATATCCCACAATCTTTCTACCCCTCGGATCCCACCATGGCTCGCGACCGTGACCGTGAGCCGGGTTTCAACAACAACAATATTAACACCACGACTAGAGATTCAGTACCAGCGCCCACGAGAAAACCCCCTCCACCACCACCACATAGTGGGAACACGGCTACCACTGCGCCTCCTAGCCCGCCATTGACTAATTTTGAGGACCAAGTGAACTCGAAGCGTGCTACTACCGTCAGTCCTGCGACGAGCTTGCATAGAACCGATCGTGAGAAAGCATCACGCTCTTCGTCGTCGACGCCCAAGACCGAGAGGGATGGAACTTCTTCATTACGGGAGCGGGAAAGACCTGGTGGTGCACGGCCACGACCCTCGAGCAAGACAGCTGCTATGAACGGTGGGGCCTCACACCGCAGCTCCCTTGAAGACGATCGTGCACGAGCAATCCGGACCGGGACGCCAATGCGTGAAAGGATCAAGGAGACGCTACACCTAGGATCATCGAACGGACGACACTCTTCGCTCAGCCATGGGTATAGCGGCAAGGAAAGTGGCTCTTCTGGGAAGTCGAGGCCAGTGAGTAGCATGTCTGGTCGCCATGAGGGATCATCGACACCCCGACCTGCGTCAAGGCATTCCGAGAGCAGAAACAGTCATCGCAGGTCAAAGTCATCACACGAGGGCTCAGCATCGAGCGCGTACGATGGGACTGCGGCGTCACATTCGAGGTCCAGGACCAAGAGTGCATCGTCGAAGCCGGGGACACCGACTTCCTCGTCTGCGGGGAAGACTGGACATGCACACGGACATAGCCATTTAAGACCGTCGAGTGTCAAGCCGCCGAGCGTCAATTCGAAGACAGGGAGGGCGGCGCCTGTTTCCCGGGAAGGTATTGAACAGCCAGCGCCTGAGATCCCGCGTGTCGATTATCTTCTGCGCTACGGTGGTCTTCCATACCGCGTTTCTCGCGAATACCTGACTGGACCCAAAGATGCCTTTGATGTTAAGCGGAACAGGGTCATTCTGTTCGATGGGTATGCAAGGTTGCTGGATGAGTATCGCTATGTCCTAAAGAAACAGGGTTCGCTTGCAGTCGCGACGGGATATCGGTCTATTGCGCGACGATTGCTGGACAGACTTGAGTCGGTATTTGCAAGGGATATCTCGTCGGAGGAGTGTACGTGTTTGATGTGCTCAAACCACACGGGTTACTCAGAGTTGCCCGACGAAGTTGGTTGGGGTGAAGTATTGGAGTTGGTTTCCGGCAGGAGGGAACTACCGGACTGGCCCCCTTTCAACCCTGATGCGCGATTGAAAACATCTGATGTGGATGACTCGGGGATACTGAACCATGAGCCAATGCAGAAAGTCGACGAGGATATCCCTCATAATTGGCGTGAACACTACCTTAAGGAAAGCAGAAAGAAGAAGGATGCAGTTGACAAATGGCTGCACAATAATGCTAGCAAGATTGGTGATGCGCCATTACCGGAAGAAGACCTTGATGATGAGACTATGGTGTTTGTCATGGGGACTTATCTAAGTGGCATCGAGAGAACCATCCTTCACGCGCTATTGAACGTCCCCGACGAACGATCTGATGCACCTAGAAAGGGAGCAACTCCACGCCCGCGACCGCCATACCTCCAAATGGCAAACACAGCACTGAAACGTCTCTACCGCCTTGCATCGCCGCCACGAGACCCCGAAGCGGCATACTACATGCTGAAGAACCCTACAATGCATAACATCCTAGCGACACTAGCAGCAATCAGCAACGATGAATGGGAAATACTTATTTCAGGCCGTTTTGATGGGTTCTTACGCAGTGGTGCTGAAGATGAACCGTCGACGTCCCCAACGTCGGGCGCGGCAGCTAATGGAAGAAACAGCCGTGCCGGATCGGGTTTCCGTCCGTCATCAAGTGCATCGTCATATCGACCCTCGAGTCAAATGTCTCGTGATGGAGCATCAGGTGCTACAACAGGCATTGCGAATGGCGCCGGGGCTATCGGCACGGGACCCATCATCGTCGACGAAGAGACTGAGATTGCAGCCTTACAGGAACTGGAGGATAGCATCTACGCTGGAATGGAAGTCCTGGAGGATGCATTCGAGGCCTTACACAATAAAGCCGAAGCCGTCCGACGCGCGATTGGCGATCGCAGGGCTGGGTTGCAATATGCCAACCAGCTTCGAAAGGCAGCTACTGAGCCCGAGGTTGAAAACACTGGACGGAGAGAACCAGATAGCGATGATGGGCTTGATGACAATATGTCGGAATTGGCGCCGTGGGATAGCGCGAGTAACATCAGCTCAAACCGCAGGAGGAAGACGAAGAGGAGGGCCGAGAGGCGGACGCCAACTGTGGTGGAGGAAGAGGAAGAAGAGGAGGACGAGGATGTCGGTAGAAGGAGGAGGAAGTGAGGTGGCCATTCTGTCTAGGGTGTTTCTCGATGAATTGCATGATTTATGAGGTATGAGCAGGGCGTGGGAGCTCAATGAGTTCATGCTTCAATGAGCAAAGACTTACATTCGTTTTTTACATGAGGGCTGATTGCCCTGGCCTGGCTTCCAATCCCTCATCGCTTTTACAAATTCCCAGATTGCACTGTTAGATCTTTTTTCCCTATTCCTCTCGAA